ACTAGTAAGAAAGTATAATTTAAGTTAACTATAACGAGAGTAAATAATAAAACCTATCCATTCTTATATCCTCATTGCTTTCAGTCTTAACATCTACCAAGCTGCTGGTCATCTGGAGATTTTCCAGATGTCGGGGGCATCTTCAGATGTTGTGGCATCTGCCTTCTTGACGAGATGCCATGTCTTGGCGAGATGCCAAGTCACATGATTAGCGCCCCGCGTTGATCCATTACCTTTTGACGTGGACTCTTGTGGCACCATAGCCAACCGTGTTCCTTCCTTCTATGGCCCTGCGTCAAGGAGAGCATCCTTCTTGTTACTCTTGTAACAGCAACCCCGGAGGGTAGTCTTAAGCTCGGGAGCACAATCGGACAGGCCAAGGTAACAAGATTGTATTCAATAGAGAGCTAAGCTCTCAGCTACGTAGCTATCTATATATAACGCTAGGTGCTTAGGTAATAATCGGGCCGGGCAGGTGGAGTAAACGAGGTCGTAGACGAGTATAAGAGGCAGAGGGCGTTCAGCCCATTACACCTGCCTCTATAAAGGCCTTAACACCAAATCAACAGGCACAAATAATACGTTTTATATACTAGAAGATACCTCCCACTCAGTAGCTATAGCAAATATATAATATTTCGCGTATTTTCGCGGCCAATTTACAATACAAATCGCATAGGTTAGCAAAATTGACGTTAAGCTGGTAGTTGACGTTGAGCTGGGTAGGGCCTAGTTCGGCAGAACTAGGCTCTGTGGGGCGAGTACTTGCTAAAGTATGGAGGACTTGGTCCCTATGCATGGTCACATTTTCCCTCATGTACCTAATTTCATCAAACCAATAACCCCGCTCTTCCTCGGCTCTAATCTGTACATTCCACGCATGGTAGGCTCTCGGGACCCTGTGGCTGTTTTTGTGTTCATATACCAACGCTACTTAGATCCCGACGCGCGAAGTATTGAAGAGCTCGAATAAATTTCTCGGCCGCCTTCCAAATGATTATACCACCAAGTCTTTCACTCCCCTCTCGGATGAGCGCTTGCATGCCTTCTTCGGACCAAATATCCGTCACACAGCCAACACCGGCGCCTCCCCCCTGCTTGATCCATTGATTGGTAGCAGTCATCTGATCTGCATTCGGGTATATTTGAGCAAGATCAACAGTAGCGTGTGTAGGGCCATCTGGATGCGGTCGAGGGTGATAGATAGCGTGGGCGATAAGAAAGGCATATGCAGCAAAAATCCGCAATACCTCACAAGGCGAACAGATGATGTACTGATTTGAGATTCCTATGATCTGAGCAGCATGCCAGATCAACGAACGTGACTTCTGCGGATCACTTGTAAAGCTCATAGCTAACTGGCGCTCTGCAGCTTTTATGGAGGAGTCGACATGCCATCTATTAAGTGAAAGGCTTTTCCTTGCGATAAAGACAACCAAATCCAGCGTGTTCCCAGAATTGCTCAAATTTGAGTAATGATATATAGAATAGATCATGCTAAGGCTCGGTATTAGTAGATCAAGTGGACCCGAGGGCAGAACTCACCTATGGTTTATGAGTTCTTCAGTGGAACGCGGTCGCCAGAGCGAGTGGCGGATCTTGCGTAATACCTCTAGCAAGTTTTCTTTTCTTTCCTGCTGACCACATGAGGAGTGTGGCAACCCCAGGCACCCTGTTATGAAAACCATGTCTAACTGCTTCAAATCCCAAAGAAGCCGATCGAGGACTATAGATAGATATCGCCTCGAGTAAGGTGACAGATCAGGAGGTAAGGGCTTACCTGAAGCGACGGTGCGCAAAGACGACGCTAATGATACTCCAGTCATGTTTTCACTCATGTCAACTTGCAGTGCAGCCCATGCTTGAGCAGAAGGCGCCGACCAGAGGGAATCTGCACATGGCATTCGAGTTGGAAGTTCTGACAGATCGATCGCCCCTCGCTTACTAGTCAAGGTGGAGAAGGTGTAGTCAAATTCAAACGCTGTCCACACTAATCTTAGTTCTTGTTGTTGATCCCTCCAGGAAAGCCATTCCTGGTGGAGATGATGTTGCCTATCGTTCTGGGTCGCATTAAGGTTGGTCTTTTTTCTTTCTCCTTCCATAGAGAGAGTAAATGAAGAACCCAGAATACCCAAGCCTCGGAGACTGGCGATCAAAAGGCCTCGACTGCGGTCAGCGCTTTGATACAGCTGGCGGTCGCCGGAACCAAGAAAATATATCGAGCTCAGACAGTGTGCTGTAAGGTAATTTATATCTTGGTAATTCTTGGTATCAGAAGCGGCCTTCAAAGTAAAGTTAGCTCTATCGGCGGAGATAACACGAGTGCCAGCGTATGTGTCGAGTCAAGAGGACTACTTTACTTACAATCAAAGGAAGGGTCTTGGAGCAAAGCTGGCCCAGAGCGGCTAATTGCTCCTTGCCAGGCCCGTTTGTAGCTGATGAGGCGCCGATCAAACTCATGGCTGCAATCAATATGGTGGGATAATTTTCAATTTTCCATGTTGGCGCGTGAATAACTGGCGAAACCGCATGGAATTCTCTGAAATATGACTCTAGCCATTTCTTGACAACTTGCAAAGCACCAAAAGTGCCTTGGCCAGCCTCGGGGATAGATAGGTATGTACCTGAGAATAATTCGGTGAGGCTATCAAGGAAAGGTGTCTCTTTGTTACTCGATTGAAGTCGCGTTCGGAGGACTTGTCGTATTGAGGGTACCTGGTAGCGCTGCCGCGCGGTGTCACGTTCAGCATCAAACGGCCATTGCTGGGGTGAGACATCATGATCATCGGATGCTGGATTACTGACAGCGCCAGTCACAAGACCAGAGGGATCGACTTGGAAAGAACCTCCGTTGTTCTGAGCAGGCAAGAACGCCATATCTTCCGGTAGAGCCGAACACGGTGATTCCTGACTGTTCGAGAAGTCATTCTGATTCAGAGCTATTTCTTCTGGCCTTGCCCAGTCCGCAGACAAATGATCAGAAATATCCAACCAGTCAACCCCAAGTTGTCCGAAATCAAAGACATCGGGGATGTTGAATGTGTACATGGGGTTGAAAACATCCGCAAAAGAATTCTGAATCAGAGTATTCTGTCCATTCTCTAGCGGATTTCGCGTGCGACTGGGACTCAGGGTCGTATCTGAAGCATTGTGCGTTTGGGAATCGCCGCCAAAATCATGAGATGCACGGTCTATTTGTTGGTTTGTCGACTGATCAATTGACTCTGTCGAAGTAGAAGGTGCCAAAAGGCCACAGTCAGTATGGTCTGCGACCCTTTGGACTGCGGATGGATGGCTTGGCTGCGGAACGGTGTGAATACAGAGACTGGAACATGCTACGGTGCCTCACTCACTAACTCGTGGGGATTATGTGACCCTTCCCCTGGAGGAAGCCGTCGCTGTTGCTCTTCCGGGTATGTGCAGACCGCATTTATTTTTGCGCAAGTGGCACAAGGCCGATCTCTGTCGCATTTCAACTTCTTCTGCGCGCAGCGAAAACACGACTTCTGCCCATTCCTTTTGCTGGCTTGTCTCGCATTATGCACCTTACGGTTATGTCGAATGAAAACATCCTGTCTCGAGAACCTTTTACCGCAGCTGGGGCAGCGGATAATGTTTCGCTCCGTGGGAGGAACGTGTGAAAGAACATGACGGGTAAGATGACTCTGCCTTGTGAAACGGAGCCCACACTCCGGACATTTGATTGCCGAATTTCCTCCATGATTCTGACCGGCCTTCTCCAGTCAGTTGAAATTCGAGATAGCTGATGCTGGTGGAGAGGACAATGGGAAAATCGCACTAACCTGTTGGTCAGAACCAGCGGCGTACACAGCAGGGCCTGGGCCGCTTTCCCTGAGAATATCCATCGAGATAGTATCTGATGCCCGATTGTGATTCATCTGGCGCGCATGGACCTAAAGAAGGCAGAAAAGAGAACATCAACAAGAGGACGGTAATCTTGCATATTGGGGTAAAGCCCTTGTTGCTGATGCTGTACCGCTACCCCGCACCCTAGCTAAGGGCAGTTAATAAGGTAGCCTCTCGGTTAATCGGTAAAACCGGATTTCTTGCGACAAGCGGTTATCCCCACCAAAACTCTAACTAGCCCCACTATCTCACGGGACGCAACCACCCCGCGGACGCGCGGCCTCACCAAAACTACCTCAAAAACGAGGCTATAGAGCCACACCAAATAGTTATTATCGCGATATATTTTAGAAATGAGGTTATTAGGCCTTGATATATATAGCTATAGGAGTTGAGTTAGAGTTCTAATCGCGCGACCGCGACGCGAGGTTGGAGGTAGTAAGCCTCCAGCACCTTATTACACGGGGTTTGGATCTATACTTCTCTTGCCAGGTCCCACACTAAGGCCGGTGAGCTTTACGCTAGTATTCTGTAAGGATATCTAGCGATTCGTAGTAGAAAAGAGTTATGGATGTAACCAAGGGTTTTGACAAACACTAATTGTCGCACGCGTAGGTGCGGTGAAAAATTGATGTGTATTTCTGCTAGATTTCTACAACGGTCTTTTGTATGCCACATTTGCAGGGTCTTTTTACATCTAGAGTACCGCCGTGTTTCATCTGCATTTGATGTCATTGTATCCTTGCATGGTTTGCGACAGAGAATTACGGAAAGGAGATAAAGGGTACTTTGTTGAGCCGACAGTCTTCCTGGATCCCAAAGCTGGTTCGAAGATTCTGGAACAGGAGGTATTTGGCTCCGATTAACTCGTCAAGACCTTTGAAATAGAAGAAGAGGTCATTAAGGCTGCCAACGATGCTGAACTCGGTCTCATGGGTGGTGTCTTTACGAGAAATATCTCTAGAGCTCTAAGGCTTTTTTGCAAAGGTTGATGCGGGTGTTGTCGGCGTTAACTGTGTTAATTATGTGAGTTTGTTGTTGGTCCATGCCCCGGAATCAACACCAACGAGCTACTAGATGAACATGCAGGCTCCCTTTGGCGGAAAGGAAGCTTCTGGTCTTGGTCGCGAGTTTGGTGAATATGCGCTCAGAACTTTCACAGAGCCGAAGACGGTAATAATCAAATTAGTCTACTTCGATGTCATGCGTTGTTTCCTCCACTGACATTTGGTTGTAGCATGAATGCTTGAATTGCACAGACTTGCTCTGCCGAACGAGGATAGAGTCGGACAACGACGATGGGTTTCGGGGTGGATCTATGGAAGTCCGCTGAGATCGCCAAGGATAGCATACTACTGTGGTTGTTTCAAAGAGGACTTGTCCTATGTGAAGCGTCCCAAAAGACTTCAGTCTATGGATAGAATTTGAGAAATGCGAATACCTGGGCAGCCGTGACCTGGGCGCATCGGATTAATATAGCTATTTAGGCAAACGTATCATCTCGATATGCCTCGACGCGTGGTCTTTGCATCTTCTTAGTGCGTACAATATAACGTTGTGATTCGTTTGGAGGATTTTGCAGCCTCCCGTAGCCGAAACGAGTTTACTGGCTAATACAATTGGCCGTGCTGGAAGAACCAAGATCCAGGTTCCTACCCAAGCAACAGGTCGTGTAAACGAGGGATCTGCATAAGAATGGCGAAGGATCTTAGGGAAAAGAGCTGCCTCATCTCTTCTTTACCCCTTGACCGTTCTCTGGAGCCATTCCTCATCCTGCGCTGTCTCCAGGTACTTAGCGGTCATCAAAAATTGGGAAGTTCAGTCAAATTCTCAGTGTTCATGTGTTCAAGGGAAGAAGACTCAATAACGTTGCGTGTATGTGCAACTTCATAGCTATTTCCACTGAGTTGACATTCACCACTCGTCGTTCTTAAGTAAGAGAATTCCATGACCTTCAAGGGTAGGGGTGTGGTGCACTCAAGGCTGACTCATGTGTTCTAATGTGTTCTAATAAGATTAGACATAATTTATTGCCTAGGTTTTTAAATGCATTAAAGCTTGCTTGATTCCCCCAGACGCCCCAAGTCATCCTGATAGGATCGCCTCATTTGATTGATGCCTTGGTCAAGCATGACATCCTCGCTTCCAGCTGGGACTCTCACACCAATCACTTCTCTCCAAAGCTTCTCAACTAGGGAACCAGACTCATTCCTTGCGTAACCCACGGCCCCCATAATCAAAGATGCTACTTCTGCGCATTCCTGGAACACAATGCCACCTTGAGCCTTCAAAAGACAGATTGCCCCGCCATTAACCTTATTGATTTCTTCCTCTGACATTTTTGAACACTGATAGGCCACCTGCTCGACCCACGACCAAAATCCTTCAAGCTGTGCACCCGCCTTCGCAAATCTATGGCGAACCACAGCTTGATCTAAGAGAGCCTTTCCAAACGCTTTTCTTTCCATGCTATACTTGAACGCGGTCGATAATGCCACTCTAGAAAATCTTGCTGCACTGGTTGCGAGAAGCAGTCTCTCGTGATTCACGTTTGAAACGACATATTTCAGGCCCTTACCTTCCTCGCCCACAAGGTTTGTAACCGGAATTCTGACGTTCTTGAGTGTTATATGCGCATGGAGCGCAGTTATTTGACCGGACATGGTAATCCTTCTGCGACTAACGCCAGGATAGTCCTTGAGCGGACATACAACGACTGATAAGCCCTTTGATCCTGGGCCTCCTGTACGAACTCCTAGTATGCAATAATCAGAACGCATGCCTGATGTGATCCACTTTTTTTCTCCATTAATAATGTATTCTTTGCCATCAGCGGACTTAACAGCAGTTGTAGATATCTGTGAGGCATCAGACCCAACTCCAGGCTCGCTCAAGGCTAGGCAAAACGTCTTCTTCCCCAGAAGTATATCTGGAAGGAAGCGCTCTTGCAGCTCATGCGAGCCGTGTCTAATAAGATAAGGCGATCCAATGGCTGTGGTTTATGTTAGCATATGTACCTATCATTTTATGGGCTTATCAACTTACTAAAACTTGATACGACTGAAAAGGGACCAGTCAACCCTGATCTATATATCTCATCGTAATAGATAACACCGTGAAGAGTATCAAACTCTTCGATCGGGGTGCCCAGGACGTCACATATCCCGACTCTTCTCAACCAATCGCAAGGAAGAGGCATGGCCATACAAGGCACGAACATGTTCGCGCTTATGAAGGTCTGCCAGTAGGAATCGGAAACATTATCTTCTTCCTCCCACTGAGCCGCGAAAGGATGATAATTCTTGTCCAAGAAAGCTTTACATTTTTTTTGCCATAGAAGATGAGACTTGGTGTAAAGCGGGCACGGAAGGCCACGGGCGTATGGAGCTTCGGAGAATGGAATCTGGGCCATGGTCAAGATGAAGGTCGGGGGGTGGGGGCTGGGGTTTGGGGAAGCAAATTATGCGGAAGATTGGGGAGTTCTTGAAGATAGAATCATCTTGGAGAAGAGTTCATAACACCTGAATATATATGCCCTTCATTTGATCACGTGTGTGAGGTGGAACAGCCTGTTCACATTTTTGTGATGGTGGGAATCTGAAGCCGCGCTACAGAAAGCGGGGCTCCGGCCATGGCGAAGCTTAGGTTTGTTCCAGCCATTGTTAGTCCCGGAGTCGCCACCCCTTCGGGGGTGAGACGGTTTAGCTCTTCCGGGGCCGTTGGAGCCCCGCATTATCCGGTATTACCGAGGGGGTCTTCTGGCAACTGTTGTACATGGCTGTTTAAGTTGATTCTCCACGAGCTACCCTCTCGCTCTGATCACACTAGATACATTAAGCCGCGATTTTTGATACCTATTCACGTTTTCGTTACTTTCTCCTGGATCTTTCATGAATGCACTTCCTTGAACACCACACCCCGCAAGGATATGTCATTATCAAAAACCATGCCACAAGTCCTGGCAGGAAAAAGAGCAATCATAACGGGCGCTGCCGGTGGCATGGGACTCGAGCATGCCCGGCACCTAGCTCGGCTCGGCGCAGATATAGCCATCTTTGACATCGATCTCGAGGTGGCGAAGAAATGGAATGACAAACTCAATGGACAGACAGTAGTTGACGATATTTGCGCCTTGGGCGTCGATTGTATCGCCATTCAAGTTGACGTGACCAACACCGCAGCAACACAAGCCGCGGTCGACCAGGTCGTAGCCCAATGGCCTGACATTGACATTCTTGTGAACAATGCCGGCGGCGCAGTGGCTCCGTTTGAACGGAGTTCTCCCACCTCGATAACCGACGAAGATACACACCGCGTGGTGAATCTCAACCTGATGTCGACCGTGAATTGCTGTCGAGCAGTCGCGCCATACCTCAGATGTCCTGGCGCGAGTATCATCAACATCGCTACCATCAACGCTGAGATGGAGGTTTCTGGGGGCAAGCAGGCGCTATATGGCGCTTCGAAAGCCGCTGTAATTCGATACACGCGGTCGCTGGCCGTTGAGCTTGGACCCAAAGGAATACGTGCCAACTCCCTCTCTCCAGGGTATGTGGAGACCCCTCGTATCGTCGCACAGGCTGCAGCGAGGCCGGGCTTGAGTGGCAACGACCTTTTGGGAAAGATCCCACTTCGTCGGTCAGGTCGGTCTGAGGATGTCTCGCGTGTAGTTGAATTTCTGGCAGGCCCCTTGTCAGACTATGTGACAGGGAACAATATACGAGTCAGTGGCGGAATGGAGTTGGTCTAGAAATTATAGCTGTGCACCCATCGCATGCTGGCCATTTTGGACATGCACGCCTTCAGTCTGGGATGTTGTTTTCAATTTATCGCTGTTCATATTTTGCATAACCGTTGACTGTACCCAATATGAGCTTCGTGACCTCTTTTTAATGGAACGATATCAAGGTAGCGAGTAGCGAGTAGCGACACTAACAGCTCAAGTAATGTAAGTGCTAGGTGGTGAATTGTGCAGCTATCTCATATATATAGATACGATGTAACTAGTGCTTGATGAAGTAATTAAAAATTCATTTCCAACCATTGCTTGATATGAGCAACCAACTCTCTTGGGACCTCAAGTGTAGTCCAATGACCAGCATCCAGTAAAGGTTTCTGTTCCAGTTTTGGGAGTAGTCCCGCCTCAATCTGCGGCTGTAGGGCCTCAGGTCGGCAGACAAAATCATCTTTGCCTCCCACGAATAATGCTGGAACATTGACAATGTCCCTGTCTTCAGGAAGATCCTTATCGACTTCGTATTGGTAACCGAGATACCTAGCTCGGTACCAGCATTGTGGCCCCTCAAAGCCATCACGTTCAAAACGTTCAATAAAGGCATTTCTGGCTTCAAGGTTTTGTGCGTAGGGTCGATTGGGAATGTTACGTTCTTCGTGAAGAAGGTAATTGCGGAGGGCGTCAGGGACACAAAACAATTCCTTCAAGGTGTCGCCTTGTCCGTGTAGGGCATCATACAATCGACTCAAATTTTGTTGTAAGACCTTCGGTCCATCCTCTGCTGTAAATAGATACCAGTACGCAAACAAGGGAAAGCCATAGAGCCTTTTAGCCGTTTCATTGAAGCCCTCCAGATCGAATGGCCGTCGAGTGGGTGGAGCGTAGGGAACGTTGATGTTGATAAGACCAACGACGCGATCAGGGTAGTAACAGTACAAATGAGAGGCGCAGACCGAGCCAAAGTCGTGGCCGATTGATATCAGCTTCGCCCTGTTCTCCTTGTCGGCAATCTCGATAAGATCCGGTAACATCTTGTCCCATCTGTATTCAGCAGGATCGGTAGGCTTGTCGGTACCATCGTATCCCAGAAGGTCAGGGACGATTATGGGATGTTTGGTAACAGAAAGGGGAGCGGCGACGTCTTTCCACATTCCAGCATTGTCTGGCCAGCCATGCTGAAAGAAGAGCGTGGGATACGAGTCGTCGCCGTTAATAGTGTAGTACGTGTAGACATATCCCCGAGTGGTTTTAAGCGTTTTCTTCTCAAAGGCTTCCATGGTGATATTTGGGCTATCGCGAGCAGGAAAATTCTAAACCGTTTGTTTAGGTTTAATGAATTATATCTTTGGGTTCAGTCCACGTGGAAAAACAAGCAGGGACTGGATGGAACTCGACCTTTAATAGTCCCGGCCTATGGTATCCTAAGTCATGTCGGAGTTGACTCGTACGGCGAGCAAAAATCCGACGCAGTTACTGTTCTCCGCCCAGGAGTCCAGGCGAGCCCAAAGCTGCACGAAATTGCACAGCGAAATGGATTAAGGTCTCCTTAGCGCCACTAGTGGCGAATTGGGACCCACCGCATACCGTGGACGGAGAGAGACTTAGTGGGTTCACTGGGAGCTCCGAGTAGCACGCCAAGTGTTCGGGGGAACCCACCTTACTTTTACATAACATCCACATGGGACTTAGGAGTAGTTGAATCAAAACCACGCATTAATGAAACGAAGGTAAACTGTATCAATCCGAGTGCGCTTTCCATTATTGCTGAGGCATTCAAGACTCAAAGCCCCGAAGCCCTCAACAGGCTTGTTGGTTCGACTGTTGTCATATTTGTACTACTAGCCTAGTTAAACGCATATCATCGCGGTAACTCCGAGGCAAACCGGCTTATTGTGTCGCGGGGAACCTGTACCCGAGTCTGTACTTAGGTATCGACCTTGAACCTATTCAACGTATTCTATTCTCGACTTTCTATCTTTTTCTCGTACACCTTTGTACCAACTCGAAATGGGAGTAACCGAAATTGCAATTCTGCCTATACAAGAGGGAAAGACCTTTGACGATACATCGACTGCCGATGGCCGACTGCATGCTGAACTTCTCAAGGATCTACTCTCTCAGCCAGGTTGTCAGCGTTGCTACTGGGGTCGTCAAGTCGAGAATAAAAATGTATTGAGATGGTTTATTGATTGGGATAGGATGGAGCATCACCGAAAATTTATCGACTCTGAGTAAGTGCTTCTTATCCTCCTCGAGAAGTGTGACTGACCTGTCTAGTGCCTACAAATACTTCGTGTCACGCTTAAGCGACTTACTTGGAGGAGCCCCTCGGGTTTATCATGCTTACTTTAACCCTAATACTCCTTTTGCAATCTTCGGCAGTACCACTACTATTGCCACAGAGATTGTAAACATGTACTTTCCAACCTCATATTCCAACGAAGACAAGACAAAGGTAGCGAATGATGTGAGTGCTTTTATTGCTGTCCTTGAGCGAGAAGAGACTGCCTACCGAGCAACAACATGTGGCTGGGTGGAAGAAGATGTGGATATTCCAGGAACGACCGAGAAGACTAGAGTATTTGTGCTGCTGATCGGAAGGACTAGTGTAGACGCACACTTGTCATTCCGTAATACGAAAGCCTTTGCGGAGTATATTCATCTTCTGCATAGTGCGAAGCACCTAAAGAAGCTCGAAACTGTGTACGCAAGCCTGACTGAGGCTACCAGTGCCTTCCGATGGTCGTCATAGCTCCGGCAAGGTTAGAGTTACGTAACTTGGTTTAGTGTAGTATTGCAAAGGTCCATAGTGAGAAGGACGCAATTGGTAGCATAATGATTATACACTACATTGTATTTAGTAGCTCGGCTCATACTCTCCTAAGTCACTAAATAATTGTCACATAAACAAAGCTCAGAAACCATAGCCCACTACTTGACAACACTTCTCCATTGGCCCTTTCTAGTTCTTCTACTTTCTACTTATATATCCCTTACCAAGGCCAAATTGTAGTTGAGTTGGATGCGAAACGCGAAAAAGATGCGGGTGATCGCGGAACCTGACTTCTTAGCCATCTAACAACTATTACATGACAATCAATATCTCTCTTTTAGTAGTTGGCCGGACAAAACAGCACAATGTCTAGGCTACCAAAGTGGCGTACCGTAAAGTGACACACTCAACGCAGATGCACGGTTCAGTATTAGCAACGTTAAACCATACCCTTATATAGTAACCCAGAAAGTCGGGGCTTGAAATAAATTCCCTCTACGCGTCCTATAAAATATCATCGCATTATAGGTACTTAGTCTCCCGAACGGGTTACAGGTTTGATTCGACCGAGCATGTTCAACGACTCCAACAGCGACTCCAGTGGAAGGCATTCAAGAGACGAACTCCGCTCTCGTCATTTGTGCCTTCCTCTTGATATGTAAGTTTAAAGACCTTCTAACAAGGTATAATCCTATCTCAGCAATTATGTGGTTGCTCAGGTAGTTCAAATTTTGCCACGGCCGTAACCTGCGGGGACCTATCAGAAGCGCCTCAGTGACGGTACATTTTTTATTTCCAATTCTCGTTCAACGCCACGACGGGGAGACCTGCGTCGTGCCCGCACGCATATCTAGTATTCCACGGTCTTTACAGTCCAGCCGCATAGTGGGTTACTCCGGATACCTGGTAGACTCGCGATTTACCTGACCGCTATTTCTCATGTCCTAGCAAGGTCCAGACCGCTCTTGGTAGCTCAACGAGGAGAAAATCTCTGGATCAGTCATATTCTAGAGACTGTTCTGCTACCATCATCGACAAGGGCGCTATAGCCTGGTCATCAGTGGCACATTGGACTTCACCCTAGAATCCCAAATTACCATTGCTCCATGAAATCAATTCGCACATCTCCACCGCTGCGATAGATATTCGAGCATAGAAATTATAGGTCAAGCCCAGTCCTATTGACTTAGGGCTTGCAAACGTCTAGCATAGTAGCGGCCTTATACGAAGTACAAGACATAGGTTTGGTGAGATAGAGACGAATTATACTTAGGAAGCAGAGTTCGCAACAAGCAAGTTGATCGGCAGATTGATTCGCGAACGTGCCAGAGGCAGGGACGTGTATGATGCCACGGAGCGTGATGTGGCACGTTCGCGAATCAATCTGCCGATCAACTTGCTTGTTGCGAACTCTGTTAGGAAGCAATGTTAGATCCGTGCAATCTGAGATCTACCACTACTACAACCTGATAATTTGGCCTCCTCTGGTTTCACTGCCATAGATAGAATACTAATTGCACAAACGAACTTCGGAAACTTAAAAATCCGCTAGAGGACCCTAAGACATCATAGCACTATCCTCAAAACTTCAACTTCATATGGCTAAGAAGATGCTAAGAGTGGACCAAGCCTCTGGGAACAAATCACGGGGACGCCACAGCCCCAGGATTAGTCCGGGACAGTCGGACCTTGGGGTAGTTGCGGGGTAAATTCCCGAGGTCTCCACGTCTCCACCATTCTGGGCAGGGTCCCATGCCCCCAAACATTAGCGTGGCAGTTACCAACAATCAGTTTCGCTTCTTTCTCCTGTTTCTGCCCGTATGGGTCTAGGTCCATCTCAGAGCATGACTCTCTAGGCTCAGCTCCTGCCAGGACGTACATCGTGGCATAGTCGTCCCCGGCTTTCGGACCACGCCACTCAAGAATCTCGGGTGACCCCATTCCCCAGAATCCCACTCATTAAAGTATGGAGATGCTTTTCGCTGTAACGGGCTGGGAGGCCGCGATAATTGTGCCTTCTCCGGACCCTGCGCGGGTACTGGCGGTTGATAGCCTCAGCATAAAAGCTATTTTGGAATAACATTACTTAAGGACACCTGTAAGGCTTCATTCATCTTTATTGTCATTTGTCCCGTCACAATGCCTATTACATCCCCGCTGCCGTCCGTTACTCTGCCTGAGATCGACCTCTTCTCTTTCATATTCGGCCGAACTGACCGAAAATGGTCCGACGATTTAGGTAAGAGCCTTGTTCAACGCCAATTGAAGACATCTTCTGACTTCGACATCAAGTAATAATCAAAGATGCGGACGACCTGCAAAGGCAGTATACTTTCAAAGAAGTTGAGCAACATGCTGTTACTTTTGGGGCAGGCATTCAAACCACTCTCAATATACAGAAAGGCGATATGATTGCAGTAATCTCTCAGAATGATATCGATGTCCTACCAATTCTTTTTGGTACTGCATCGATCGGAGCAATCTTCAGCCCAATGAACCCAGGTCACGCCCCTGAGGAGCTCGTGAAACAGCTGCGAACTGCGGAAGCAAAACTCGTTGTGACACACTTTACCAACGTTCATGCTATCGCAAGGGTCTGCGCTCAGGTCGGAATTCCGGAGTCACATATTCTTACCCTTGGGTCACAGACTGAATTAAACGGGCCTATTCAACACTGGAAATCAATATGCAGAGCCACCGACAAGCGGCACTTTCAACCAGCCAAGATCTCGCCTAAGCAGGACCCGGCTCTTCTACTATACTCTTCTGGCACTACTGGAGTCCCAAAAGGAGTCATTTTGACTCATTATAATCTCATCTCGAACCTCCTTATACGAGTAGCTGCGGAGTGGGGACAGGTTCGCCCAGAAGGGGGTTTAGGGAAGGTCAAGAATCTTCCAGATGCTCCACCTAGTGGTGATAAGGCCCTTATGGTGATTCCATTTGTCCACGCTTACGGACTCTCGTATGTTCTACTCACCAATTTGTACGGCGGCATTCCAGTCGTGGTCATGTCAAAATTTGACTTTACCAAGTGGTGCCAAACCATTGAAAAGGAAAAAATTACAATAGTGACAATGATTCCGACAATGGCTTTACGACTCATCAGAGAGCGCATCCCATATGATCTATCGTCCGTACGAATGGCCGTCATTGGTGGCGCTGCAACACCATCGGAAATACAACAAACTTTGGCAGACCGTTACAATATGCCTTCCAGATTGGGATATGGCCTGACTGAAGCCGGACCAGGTATAACCGGTAAACGTTGGTGCGACTGGAATGACGAACTTGGCTCAGGTGATCCACTTTATCCCAATGTGGTAGCCAAAATTCTGCCCTTTGAGGATGGAGCCGGAGCGGGACCTATCAGCGATGAAGAGTTACCCCAAGGGACGGCTGGAGAGATATACATCCATAGTCCTGGGAACTTCAAAGGTTACTGGAAGAACCCCCAGGCAACCAAGGAGGTTTTGAGCTCCGATGGGTGGCTACGAACTGGCGATGTAGGATATTTCGATGAAAAAGCTCGATTCATCCCTACCGATCGCGCAAAAGAATTGATCAAGTACAAAGGCTTTCAGGTAGCTCCGGCAGAGCTTGAGGGGTTGCTAGCCACTCATGAGTTGGTCGAAGATGTTGCGGTTGTTGGAGCTTGGTCAGAAGAGATCGGCTCCGAAATTCCGGTTGCGTTCGTGGTTCCCAAAGGTGGTCTCGCGGCGACCAAATCTTGGGATGATGTTGCAATCATGACATGGCTATCAGAGAAGGTTGTTAAGTACAAGAACCTGAAAGGTCTAAAGTTTATTCAAGCAATCCCGAGGAATGCAAACGGAAAGGTCCTACGGAAAGTGGTGAAAGAAATGGCAATGAAGGAATTTTCCTCCAAGAATCGTGTGTTACCAGCGAAATTGTAAGTTTAAATACTAAGTCTATTAAATGATGCTTCAAACGTTTGTTGTGAAAGCTCTCACATAGTTGAGTCCGATCGGTTTCACACTCCTAAGTGTAACTAACTATAAGCAAAACTCCCACTACAACACCACTACTTCACACTTTAATAAAGTAACAGAAAGAAGAGTATATATACTTCCAAGAGCTGCAGCTTACCTCCAATAGTTAGAACGCAATAACACAACAACGACGTAAGATTATGCTTTTTTAAAGGTGTGTGGTTTTAGCTGCTAAAAAGGCGCTATACCACTTTAGAATTTCGCGGACATCACTACCGTGCCGGACGGTCATGTGCCTCGGACGGCTACCTGCCCGATCTGCCCCACCAAAACCATCATAAAACTGAGGCTGTAGAGCTTTATAGAAAAGCTTTTATCGCGACATATTTAGTGCTAATAATCTATTAGTATTAATAATTAAATCTACCTATCGATATTTAACTAGCTGGTAACTTGATATCGCGGCCGCAACGCGAGCGTAGTGGTGGTGGAGCTGTGTAACGATGTTACAGCCTCGCCAAGTATCGGACCAATCCCAGAGCCGGATCCAAGGAAGTATCGGCCGCCCCTTCATCAGCTACTCGTTCTTAGTCGGATCCGATTCGGACCCGACTAGGA